ACTAATTATATATACATTCTGTCCCCATGAAAAAGACAAATAAACTGGAGTTTACTAAACTCTTGACTGTTAATAGAAAACAACATTCCTGTTCTTGTCTGCAATGTTTGTCTTTCTAGAATTTCAAATGCAGCATTTGATCCGCCTGGCTCCACCTCCCACCACCACCCCCCATCACTACCCCTTCCCATCACTACCCCCTCCATCACTACCCCTCCCATCACTACCCTTCCCATCACTTCACCCACCCATCACTACCCCATCCCATCACCACCCTCCCATCACTACCCCCTCCCATTACTACCCCCTTCCATCACTACCACCTCCATCACCATCATACCCCCCACCGCTCGCCCACCCCATCCTTGTCCCATCACTACCCCCATCCCATCACTACCACCTCCATCACTATCCCCACCCATCCTGCCCCCACCCATCACTACCCCACCCATCCTACCCCCACCCATCACTACTACCACCACCCATCACTACCCCCACCCATCCTCCCACCCATCCTACCCCACCATCTATCCACTACCCCACCATCCTCCCCACCCATCCTACCCCACCATCCTACCCCACCCATCACTCCCCTCATCCCTCCATTTACTACCACCTTCCATCCTCCCCTCCATCCTACCCCACCCATCCTCTCACCCATCCACTTACTCCACCATCCATCACTACACCTCCATCCTATCACCCATCACTACCCACCCATCACTACTATCTTCCACCCATCCTACCCCCACCCATCCTCCCTACTTATCACTACCTACCCATCCTCCCATCACTACCTCCATTCTACACCTTCCATCCTCACCTCCATCCTCCACATCCTTCCCCACCTCCCCACACCCTAGCCCCACCCATCACTACCCATCCATCACTACCCCCACCATCACTACCCCCCATCACTACCTCCATCCTTTCCCACCATCCCTACCTCCATCCACCCCTTCATCACTCCCCATCCCATCCTACCCCATCCCATCCACTCCCCCACCCATCACTACCCCACCATCACTACCCCATCTCCCCCCACCCACTCACTACCCCACCATCACTACCCCCTCCCTACCCCTTCCATCCTACCCCCTCCCTCCTACCCATCGCCACCCCACCCATCCTACCCCCATCCCATCCTACCCCATCCCTCCCTTCCCCACCATCCTACCCCACCATCCTACCCCCATCACTACCCCCCACCATACTGCCACCTCCATCCTCTCCACCCACTACCCCACCCATCACTACCCCACCCATCACTACCCCATCCCATCACCCCCACCATCACTACCTCCATCCTACCTCCATCACTACCCCTCCATCACTACACCTCCCATCACTACACCTCCCATCCTGCCCTCCCTCCTTACTACCTCCATCCTCTCCCATCACTACCCCACCCATCACTACCCTCCCATCACTACCTCACATCACCTACCACCTCCCCATCACTACCCCCTCCCATCACTACCTCCATCCACTACCCCCTCCATCCTCTACCTCCCACATCCTACCCCCCTCCATCCTCCTCCCATCACTCCCCCACCATCCTACCCCACCCATCACTACCCCCACCCATCCTACCACCTTCACTCCTCCATCCTACCTCCATCACTACCCCCTCATCCTACCCCCTCCCATCCTACCCCTCCATCACTACCCCCTCCCATCCTACCTCCCATCACTACCTCCTCACCCATCACTACCCCTCCCATCACCACCTCCCATCACTACCACCTCCCATCACTACCCCTCCATTTCTACCACCCTCCCATCACTACCCCACCCATCCTCTACCATCCTCCCCTCCCATCACTACCTCCATCCCTCCCCCTCCATCCCTACCCCCTCCCATCACTACCCCCATCCTACCCCTCCATCCCACTACCCCCACCCATCACTACCCCTCCCATCTCCCCCCCCATCACTACCCCCCCATCCTACCCCCCTCCATCACTACCCCTCCCATCACTACCCCTCCCATCCTACCCCCTCCATCCCCTCATCCTACCCCCTCCATCACTACCCCCACCATCACTACCCCTCATCCTTCACCCCCCCCATCCTACCCCCTCCCATCCTCCCCCTCCCATCACTACCCCTCCATACTACCCCCTCCCATCCTACCCCTCCCATCACTACCCCCCCATCACTACCCCCACCCATCACTACCCCCTCCCATCACCTCCATCCTCCCCCTCCCATCACTACCCCCTCCCATCCTACCCCCACCCATCCTTTCACTCCACCTACCCCTCCCATCACTACCCCCCTCCATCCCTACCTCCATCACTACCCTCCCATCCTACCCCACCATCCTCTCCCCTCCATCACTACCCCTCCCATCACTACCTCCCATCACTACCCCCACCCATCCTACCCCCCACCCATCCTACCCCCCATCACTACCTCCCATCCTCCCCTCCATCTCCCCCCCCACCCATCACTACCCCCTCCCATCACTACCCCTCCCATCACTACCCCACCCATCACTCCCTCCCATCCTCCCCACCATCCACCCCCACCATCCTACCCCCTCCCATCACTACCCCTCCATCCTACCCCCACCCCATCCTACCTCCCATCACTACCCCACCCATCTACCCCCACCCCATCCACTACCTCCATCACTTCCCCTCCCATCACTACCCCACCCATCCTACCCCTCCCTTACTCCCCATCCTCACTACCCCTCCCATCACTACCCCCACCCATCCACCTCCCTCCTACCCCCTCCACCTACCCCCATCCCATCCTACCCCACCCATCACTCCCCCCCCTCACTACCCCCATCACTACCCCATCCATCCTACCTCCCTGCCCCTCCCATCCTTCCCCTCCCATCACTACCTCCCACATCACTACCCCCTCCATCACTACCCCCACCCATCCCTACCCCCTCCCATCCTACCCCCCCCATCCCATCACTACCCCCTCCCATCCTACCCCTCCATCCTACCCCTCCCATCACTACCCCCATCATCCTACCTCCCATCACTACCCCCTCCATCCTACCTCATCCTACCCCCCATCCTCCCCATCACTACCCCTCCATCCTTACCCCTCATCCTACCCCTCCCATCACTACCTCATCTTCAGGCGAATCTCCGGATAATAATGTTGTATTCTTTCGCAACAAATATATGAGGAAAATTTTGCAACACTCTCCTTCCCTCTACTCCCCATCCCTCTCCTTCATCCCCTCCATCCCTCTGCTCCCCATCCCTCTCCTTCCCCCCTACTCCCCATCCTCTATCCCTCTCCTTCCCTCTGCTCCCCATCTCTCTCCTTCCCCTCTGTCCCCACCCCCTCCTTCCCATCCTCTCCATCCCTCTACTCCCCATCCCTCTCCATCCCTCTACTCCCCATCCATCTCCTTCCTTGTCCCCTATCCCTCCCATCCCTCTCTCCCATCTCTCCCCTCTGTCCCCCTCCTTATCCATCTCCATCCTCTACTCCCCATCCCTCTGCTCCCCATCTCTCTTCCCTCTGCTCCCTATCCTCTCCTTATCCCTCCATCCCTCTTCATCCTCCTTCCCCTACTCCATCCCTCTCCCTTCCATCCCTCTCATCCTCCATCCTCCTTCCCCCCTCCCCATCCCTCTCTCCCCATCCCTCTCCCTTCCCTCTGCTCCCCATCTCTCTCCTTCCCATCCCTCTCCATCCCTCTCTCCCTCCCTCTCCGTCCCCCTTCTCCCCATCCCTCTCCTTCCATCCTCCATCCCTCTCCCATCGCTCTCCTTCCCCTCCCCATCCCTCTGCTCCCATCCCTCTCCTTCCCTCTGCTCCCCATCTCTCTCCTTCATCCTCTCCATCCCTCTCTCCATCCTCTCTTTCCCTCTATCCTCTCTTCCATCCTCTCCATCCCCTCTCCCATCCCTCCTCCTTCTCTCCCCATCCTCCTTCCCTCCCTCTCCATCCCTCTACTCCCCTCCCTCTCCTTCCTCTGTCCTCTCTCCTTCCTGTCCCTCTCCTTCCCTCTGTCCCTATCCCTCTCCTTCCCTCTGCTCTATCCTCCTCCTCTGCTCCCTCCTCTATCCTATCCCTCTCCCCTCCTATCCCTCTCCTTCCCTCCATCTCTCCCCTCCTTCCCTCTCTCCCTATCCCCCTCACCCCCTCTGCTCCCTATCCTCTCCTTCCTCCTGCCCTATCCCCTCATCCCTCTGCTCTATCCTCTCCTTCCCTCTGCTCCCTATCCTCTCCTTCCTCTGCTCCCATCTCTCTCCTTCCTCTGCTCCCCATCCCTCTCCATCCTCTCTCCCCCTTCTCCTCATCCTCTGCTCCCCATCCCTCCATCCTCCTGTCCCCATCCCTTCTCCCCTCCTTTCACCCTCTTGCCCTCACCATCTTTCTCTTCCACCCATCTGTCCCTCCCCCTCACCCCCCTCACCCCCCTCCACCCCCCTCACCCCTCCCACCCACCTTCATCCCTTTCATGTAAACTGCTGTTATTACCCTCACGTACAGTTCAATCCTCCCTCCCCCTCCGTTTCCCCTCTCCAACCTCATCCTTGCACCTCTTTCCTCCTTCCCTCTTTCCACCCTACCCTCTCTCCTCCCTCCCTCCCTTCTATCTCACCCTCCCTCCCTTCCTCCTTCCCTCCCCCCCTCTCCACCGATATTCCCCGGACAAAAAAAATCATCGTCCAAAATGTCAGCGAAAACTTCTAACTCCTCAAACTGAACATTGTTATTGTGAAAACGTCCTGTAGGGAGAAGCGGACAGACAAAGTCACCCCTTCCCCACGAGTCAGTTTTATAATGTTAAATTCCTGTAGGGTATAGCTTGGTAACGCTGTATAACATGAAATCTTGGACGAAATTATTGGCTACATCTCTCTCTCTCCTCTCTCTCTCTCTCTCTCTCTCTCTCTCTCTCTCTCTCTCTCTCTCTCTCTCTCTCTCTCTCTCTCTCTCTAGCCAATATCACACACCCAGGATCAGTTACCTGAGACCCTATGTGCCGATGATGTACAGTATATTATTATAACCAGGATGACCAGGGGAAGGTGACCAGGGAAGGTGACCAGGGAAGGTGACCAGGGATGGTGACCAGGGAAGTGACCGAGGAAGGTGACCAGGGATGGTGACCAGGATGGTGACCAGGGATGGTGACCAGGGGATGGTGACCAGGATGGTGACCAGGGATGGTGACCAGGGGATGGTGACCAGGGATGGTGACCAAGGGAAGGTGACCAGGGAAGGTGACCAGGGAAGAGGTGACCAGGGATGGTGACCAGAGGATGGTGACCAGGGAAGGTGACCAGGGGAAGGTGACCAGGGGATGGTGACCAGGGGATGGTGACCAGGGAAGGTGACCGGGAAGGTGACCGAGGATGGTGACCAGGATGGTGACCAGGGGATGGTGACCAGGGATGGTGACCAGGGGATGGTGACCAGGAGGATGGTGACCAGGGATGGTGACCAGGGGATGGTGACCAGGGATGGTGACCAGGGATGGTGACCAGGAGGATGGTGACCAGGGAAGGTGGCCAGAGGATGGTGACCAGGGGATGGTGACCAGGGGATGGTGACCAGGGAAGTGACCAGGAGGAAGGTGACCAGGGGATGGTGACCAGAGAGGATGGTGACCAGGGATGGTGACCAGGGGAAGGTGTGACCAGGGAAGGTGACCAGGGAAGGTGACCAGGAGATGGTGACCAGGGGATGGTGACCAGGGGAAGGTGACCAGGGGGAAGGTGACCAGGGGATGGTGACCAGGGGATGGTGACCAGGAAGGTGACCAGGGAAGGTGACCAGGGGATGGTGACCCAGGGATGGTGATGAGGATGGTGACCAGGGGATAAGGCCAGAGGATGGTGACCAGAGGATGGTGACCAGGGGATGGTGACCAGGATGGTGACCAGGGAAGGTGACCAGGATGGTGACCCAGGAGGAAGGTGACCAGGGAAGCCAGGGAAGGTGACCAGGGAAGGTGACCAGGGGATGGTGACCAGGATGGTGACCAGGGAAGGTGACCAGGGGAAGGTGACCAGGGGATGGTGACCAGGGGATGGTGACAGGGGATGGTGACCAGGGGATGGTGACCAGGGGATGGTGACCAGGGGATGGTGACCAGGAAGGTGAGAGGAAGGTGACCAGGGATGGTGACCAGGGATGGTGACCAGAGGATGGTGATGGGGAAGGTGACCAGGGAAGGTGACCAGGGGATGGTGACCAGAGGATGGTGACCAGGGATGGTGACCAGGGAAGGTGACCAGGGAAGGTGACCAGGGGAAGGTGACCAGGATGGTGACCAGGGGATGGTGACCAGGGGGATGGTGACCAGGGATGGTGACCAGGGGATGGTGACCAGGGGATGGTGACCAGGGAAGGTGACCAGGGGATGGTGACCAGGGGATGGTGACCAGGGGGATGGTGACCAGGGGATGGTGACCAGGGGGAAGGTGACCAGGGGATGGTGACCAGGGGGATGGTGACCAGGGGATGGTGACCAGGGGATGGTGACCAGGGGATGGTGACCAGGGGAAGGTGACCAGGGGATGGTGACCAGGGATGACCAGGGGATGGTGACCAGGGAAGGTGACCAGGAGGTGCAGGGGATGGGTGACCAGGGGAGGTGACCAGGGAAGGTGACCAGAAGGTGACCAGGGAAGGTGACCAGGGGATGGTGACCAGGGAAGGTGTGACCAGGGGAAGGTGACCAGGGGAAGGTGACCAGGGGAAGGTGACCAGGAAGGTGACCAGGGAAGGTGACCAGGGAAGGTGACCAGGGGGATGGTGACCAGGGAAGGTGACCAGGGGAAGGTGACCAGGGGACAGTGACCAGGGGAAGGTGACCAGGGGACGGTGACCAGGGGACGGTGACCAGGGGACGGTGACCAGGGATGACAGGGGATGGTGACCAGGATGGTGACCAGGAAGGTGACCAGGGAAAAGGTGACCAGGGGAAGGTGACAGAACACCATAAGAAGAACCTCGTGTTATTTTAAGTCATTTCTATCAAAAACATCACCGGAAACATCTCGTGATCGTCGCAACTCTACATGTTATCGTTACAGTGTTTACAAAGCCACATCGTGATTTGTAATAACATTTGAGGATAATTCATCCATGTCAGGGTAAAGGCTGATGACCCCAGACGAGAAGTGTCAGCCGGTCAGAAGTGTCAGCCTGAAGTGTCAGCCGGTCAGAGGTGTCAGTCGTCAGGAGATGGACCTAGGTGGTGGTGGTGGTGGATGGGGGGGGGTTGGTGGGGTGGAGGGGGTGGGGTGGAGGGGGGTTGGTGGGGTGGAGGGAGGATAAGCCTTAGTTAATAGGTTAAAAGTTGGAGTTTTATGCTTTTAATATGACGGGAAAAGAGAGGATTTATAACTGGTAATGAATTTAGTGTCCAGAGTTTGGGAGATAAAGAGGAGAGAAGGAAGGGGGATGGGGAGGGAGAGAAAGGAAGAGGAGATGGGGAGAGAGAGAGAAGGGAAGAGAGGAAGAAAAGAAAGGGACAGAAATGAGAAGGAAGAAAAGGTGGAGAGAAATGGGGAAGAGAGAGGAAAGAAGAAAGAGAGAGAGAGAGGGAGGGAAGAAGGAAGAGAGGGATAGAAATGGGAAGGAGAGAGGGAGACAAATGGGAAGTAGAGAGGAAGGAAGGAGAAGGTGAAACAGGGAGAAGGGAAAAAGAGGAGGAGAGCGAGAGATGTAGCCGTAGGAAGGGAAGCAGGGAAAGAGTGATAAATAAGATGGGTAGAAGAGAGAGAGAGAGAGAGAGAGAGAGAGAGATTCAAGGTGCACATATAACAAAAAATATAATATAAATCTTAATTGACGTACACAACAACGTTCTTATATCCCGTTGTCAATACAATAAAGTAACACATAACAAGTCACTCTGTTATGCATCAATATCCTGTAACCAGTCACCTCTTTAAGGAGGAATATTTCTGTAATCAATATTTCTACCATTTTATGAGAGAGGAGGAGACCTGGTCGTATCCCGAGTGGTACAGTAAAGTGACGACCTGTGTGACCGGAGGTGATATCACGACCTTAGTGTCAGCAGGGGGTCGTAACGGTGTGCGGGGAACACTAGCTGGCGACCCTAGTACCTCTCTCTCTCTCTCTCTCTCTCTCTCATTCAATCTACCCATTTCTCTCTCTCACTCCTTTTTCATTCTCTCTCTCTCTCTCTCTCTCTCTCTCTCTCATTCAATCTACCCATTTCTCTCTCTCTCTCACTCCTTTTTCATTCTCTGTCTCTCTTTCTCTCCTCAGCAAAATTTCGCCTATGAAAAGTCGTATGAGTTAAGTTTAAAACAAGAAAATGCAAATTCTTTGTTCACGATTTGGCTACAGTTTGCCGTGATCTGTTGCAAACCGGATTATTGTTTTCTAGGATTGTTTGCAGTATCCTATGTAGAATCGGCAAACAAGAATTTGTAGATTGTTTGGTTGATTGTGTATACAAAATAAGATATAAGTCCTTACAAAAAAAATAGTTGCAGGAAGTTACAGATGCATTTTTCAAAACAATAAATTTCTTAAGATTTAAAGCCAATTATTTCAGAATCTTACAATGTTGATTTTGTCACATGTTATAGTAATCATTAATACGTGAGACCTTTACCTATTACACAAATCTCTCAAAATATTTTAATTCGGATGAAAAAACAAAAAATAAAGTGAACATTAAATCTCCAAGACAAAAAACCTTATTTGTTTTTTCTTTGTTTAGTCTGAGAGGTAAACATTCCGAAAGTAAATATCAGTGTAAGAAGTCTATTGGCGCCGTAACGAAAAGAAGAAGAGCGCGGGTCGCATAAACCTCTTCCGCAACACTGGCTTCCTCTGGGATCCTTTTGTCAGCTGTTCCAACCCTGTAAACACACACCCGGAGAAAACAGGAGTCTCAAAACCCAGTTCCTCTCTCTCTCTCTCTCTCTCTCTCTCTCTCTCTCTCTCTCTCTCTCTCTCTCTATACGAATATATATATGTTTATATTTTCCGTGTTGTATCAGCGTCAATTTTTACTCCTCTGTGAAAACCCTCAGATGACCTGTACTGCTGAGGGCTGTTGTCGTCTCCGGAATTTAAAGGAGTAATATTGTCTGTTAGATTAGGTTAGCGTTAGGTTAGGTTAGGTTTGGTTAGCATTAGGTTAGGTTTGGTTAGCATTAGGTTAGGTTAGGTTAGGTACAGTTAAAGGAGAAAGAAAGAAAGATAAGAACATTGAAAGCGAAGATAGAAGGAGAGTGGACAGATACGATGGAAGGAGAGATTTGGAAAAGAGTGGAGGGGCATAGTGAAGGGACATAGTGGAAGGGCATAGTGGAGGGGCATAGTGGAAGGGCATAGTGGAAGGGCATAGTGAAAGGGACATAGTGGAAGGGCATAATGAAGAGACATAGTGGAAGGGCATAGTGAAAGGACATAGTGGAAGGGCATAGTTGAATAACATAGTGGAGGGGCACAGTGGAGGAGACATAGTGAAAGGGCATAATGAAGGGACATAGTGGAAGGGCATAGTGAAAGGACATAGTGGAAGGGCATAGTTGAATAACATAGTGGAGGGGCACAGTGGAGGAGACATAGTGGAGGAGATGGTGACGTAAGAGTGACGGACCACAGCACCACGAGGTGACGACCTGGGGGTGAGGAGAAGTAGGAGAGGAGGAGGAGAAGTAGGGAGAGGAGAAAGGGAGAGAGGAAGAAAGGAGGAGAGAAGGGGCGGAGGAATTTGAGGACAAAAGAGGAAGAGGAAGAAGAAGATGACGTGAAAGTGGAGGGAAAAAGCTGAAGAGGAATAAAAGATAAGAAGAAAATTAAGGAAGATAAAAAGAAAGAAGAAAGAGGAGGAGGAGGAGGAGGAGGAGGAGGAGGAGGAGGGCCAAGAAGACCAAAAGTGAAAGAAGAAAAAATGAAAGGTTAGGTTAGGTTATTGATAAAGAAGAACAATAACTAAAAGCAAATTGTCGAGAAGAAGGAAGGAAGGAGTGAAGGAGAGAAGGAAGGAAGAGGAGAGAAGGAAGAAAGGAAGTGAAGGAGAAGGAAGGAAGGAAGGAAGGGTGAAGGAGAGAAGGAGTGAAGGAGAGAAGGAGAGAAGGAAGGAGGAAGGAAGGAGTGAAGGAGAGAAGGAAGGAAGGAGAAGGAAGGAAGGAGTGAAGGAGAGAAAGGAGTGAAGGAGAGAAGGAGAGAAGGAAGGAAGGAAGGAAGGGAGTGAAGGAGAGAAGGAAGGAAGGAAGAGAAGGAAGGAAGGGTGAGGAGAGAGAAGGAAGGAAGGGGAGAGGAAAGGAAGGGAAGGAGAAGGAAGGAAGGGAAGGGAGAAGGAAATGAGTGAAGGAGAGAAGGAAGGAAGGAGAGAAGGAGAAGGAAGGAAGGAAGGAAGGAGAGAAGGAAGGAAGGAGAGAAGGAAGAAAGAAGTGAAGGAGAGAAGGAAGGAAGGAAGGAAGGAGAGAAGGAAGGAAGGAAGGAAGGGGTGAAGGAAGGAGAGAAAGAAGGAAAGGAGTGAAGAAAGGAAGGAAGGAAAGAAAAGAAAGGAAGGAGTGATGCTGTCTTGTAACATTTATCTATTTTTATGTTTTTTATTCATTCATAGATCATCATCATCATCCTCCACCTCCTCCTCCTCCTCCTCCTCCTCATCATCATCATCATCATCATCATCATCATCATTATCCTCCTCCTCATCTCTATTCATCCTCCTCCTCACCATCATCATTATCCTCCTCCTCCTTATCATCATCATCATCATTCTCCTCCACCTCATATATCATCATTATTATCCTCCACCTCCTCCTCATCATCATCATCTATCCTCCACCTCCTCCTCATCATCATCATCATCATCATCATCATCATTATCCTCCACCTCCTCATCATCAACATCCATCATCATCATCATCATTATCCTCCACCTCCTCCTCCTCTCATCATATCATCATCATCATCATCATCATCATCATTATCCTCCACCTCCTCATCATCAACATCATCATCATCATCATCATCATCATTATCCTCCACCTCCTCCTCCTCCTCATCATCATCATCATCATCATCATCATCATCATTATCATCCACTTCCTCATCATCAACATCATCATCATCATCATCATCATCATTATCCTCCTCCTCCTCATCATCATCATTATTATCCTCCACCTCATCCTCCTCCTCATCATCATCATCATCATCATCATCATCATCATCATTATCCTCCACCTCATCATCATCATCATCATCATCATCATCCTCCACCTCCTCATCATCAACATCATCATCATCATCATCATCATCATTATCCTCCACCTCCTCCTCCTCATCATCATCATCATCATCATCATCATCATTATCCTCCACCTCCTCATCATCAACATCATCATCATCATCATCATCATCATCATCATCATCATCATTATTCTCCTCCTCCTCATCATCATCATTATTATCCTCCACCTCCTCCTCATCATCATCATCATCATCATCATCATCATCATTATCCTCCACCTCATCATCATCATCATCATCATTATTATCATTATCCTCCTCCTCATCATCATCATTATTATCCTCCACCTCCTCATCATCAACATCATCATCATCATCATCATCATCATCATTATCCTCCTCCTCCTCATCATCATCATTATTATCCTCCACCTCATCATCATCATCATCATCATCATTATCCTCCTCCTCATCATCATCATCATCATCATCATCATCATCATCATTATCCTCCTCCTCATCATCATCATCATTATCCTCCACCTCCTCATCATCAACATCATCATCATCATCATCATTATCCTCCTCCTCCTCATCCATCATCATTATTATCCTCCACCTCCTCATCATCAACATCATCATCATCATCATCATTATCCTCCTCCTCCTCATCATCATCATTATTATCCTCCACCTCATCATCATCATCATCATCATTATCCTCCACCTCCTCATCATCAACATCATCATCATCATT